ACTCTTAAAACGAATAGCAGCTGACTTTTCTGGAGGCAATCTCCTGTGGATCCTTAATTCCCATCTTTCCTTAGAATTTTAGAAACACCAAAGGAAAAGGTAGCTAGAAGTTTCTCAGAATATAAACTGCAAAATAGCACAGACAGATTGTCAAGAGACATTTCATTCACCCCATTTACAACCTGTGCATCCATCTCATTTGTTAGCATCATTCATCAGAGCCATTCACAGTGCTGCAGAAAAGCCTCGCTGCTCTCACAGTGGCACAGGCTGCTTTCCTCCCTTGTTTCTGTGGCAACATCACCTCTTGTTTCTATGAGAAAGGTCACGTTGTCATACTGTTTAATCCACTACCTGTACACATTTCACTCACTGGCTGGAAACAATACAGGAGAGTTTCAGCATTAGACCAACAAACAGCCAGACCTCCACAGCTCATAATGCCTGTGCTATTGAAACTATGCCCTCAATCACCAGTGGAGCTGGAGAGGGGCACCACAGTCAGCACCAGGCATCCTACATCAGGCTCATTATTTCTACAGATAGAAGGCCAGTGAGCTACTTGAACACAGATCTTTCAGTAATATATTTATTTCAGTAAATATTATATATTTATATTGCATATATCTGTATAATATTATATAATATATAATATTTCAATAATAATATATTTATAGACAAGATATTTTACCTCCACAAGAGTGATTGCCAGCCATATCAGCCATTTCCCAGCAGGCAATAACCTACTTTTAGACCAAAGGCAAATCTAGTCAATCCCCAACTGTTCGAAGATGTCCATCCCAAGAACAGAATCACAGAATTGCTTGGATGGAAGAGACCTGAAACATTGTCTAGTGCCAACTCCTCCTGCTGCAGGGAGGGATTCCTTCCATTGGCTCAAAGTCCCATCCAATCTGCCTTTGAACACTTCCAGGGAAGAGACATTCACAACTTTCGTGGGCACCAGGTTTCAGTGGCTCACCCTAACAAGGAAGAACTTCTTCCTCATATCCAAACTAAGCTCACCCCTTTTCAGCTTGAAGCCAATCCTCCTTTGCCCCACCACTCCATGCCCTTGTAAAAATCCCTCTTCACGTCTCTCTTATAGGTCCCCTTTAGATACTGGAAGGTGCTGTAAGGTCTCCCTGGATTCTTCTCCTCTACAGCCTGAACAACCCCAACTCTCTGTCTGTTTTCACAGAGAGGTGCTCCAGCTCTCTGATCATCTTCGTGACCCTCCCCAGGACTCACTCCAACCGCTCCCTGTCCTTACATCATGAATGTCACTACAAATCAAGATGAATTATTAGCTGAAAGAAATTAACATAATTGCTGTCTTATCGCATTTCTTTCCCTTAATGTTTTTCAAAGTCATTTCCTAGCTATTAGGGATTGACCTACTAATTGCTGACAAAACAAAGAGTCTGCATAGTGTAACACAGATTAAATTTTCAGCCAGGCATGCAGTTCCTCTCGTTCTCTTGGATGACAGCACTTACCCATACCAAGGCTTTTGTGTGCCATCTGGTGGACTTTCAGCACTTGGTACATTTTGTTTAAGTACAAATAAAGAGAGTCCGAATGCACTGTCAGGAGAATCTACCTTCTTTGGCCATTGACAGTTTCATCTTATCATCCTGTATTTGCTCAAATTAATGTGTGCCTGACAGTAACAACTTAATTCCTCTCACATTTGCAGTCAAATGAGCCTTTATTACTGTAACTGTTGTTAACTTTAGCTAACCCTTTGCACTGATAGATTTTATACGTAACTGAATGGTCACCCTTTCAAAAATAACTTCCACAAAACAGAATTCCTAACAGAATTCCATATATAGAACCACAAGCTGACAATTCTCAATGGCATTTAGATATTTCATTCTCAATGACTAAAAATGCTGCCATTAGTCTCCATTTGTCATGAGGTCAAAGATATTGAAGCAAGCCTATTACCATACAACTTCAAAAACAAAACTGAGAGTTTTGAGCACTCATTCTTCCTTCTAAGTATGAAAGCAAGAACTGTCATTAAAAATACTGCAGGGTTAAAAATGAAAAAGGAGAAGCCAGCTAAAACATTTGAAAAAAAATCCAGAGCACCATTTTTGTACTGTATCTAACTAATGCAGCTGAGGCATTTCTTAATTTATCCTTTTTATAGAGCACAAGCTGTGGGATAAGGATGTGATGGAATAAATTTCAAAATGCACAAATTCCTACAGCAACACAGTCCTAACGGGGAGTGTATTTCCTACTCCAGCACACTGCCATCAGTTTTCTTCCACTCTGCAAGACTTCCAGGATTTTAAGGCTGGATGAGGGCCACTCTCTGAATGAATGAGTTGCACCTGCCACAACAGAGCATCAATAAGCAACTGGATGAACTTTACACCCAACATACATTGTCAATTCAGAAATCTGAATACAAGATGGCAATGACTGTATGGATAGAAAAGACCAGTTGAGAGGTGCTGAATTTTTTGTTTTCAAGGAATCTCCTTTTTGGAATCTGGCCATCCTTTCACAGAGAGAACAAGACTAACCCAAATAAAACAGGAAGAAAAAGAACAGCAGTGACTGCAAAGGCACCTTTTGGGTTTGGTCCCCATTGCTACTTGCAACCTGACCTCTAGAGAAAATCAGGCTCAGCACTGTCTTATCAGCCAGTCTGGGACTTGGCAAACATACCAACAGCTGTGCTGGTTTAGACATTGATTTTAGCTGCCTTTTTGGACACAGGCTCACTGGAGTGCTGCTGAAAGGTCAGCCGAGACAGACTCCTTAAGCTGAAAGCTAACACAAAGAAAAGTTATACAACCAGGGAAGAGAAAGAAGCCAAGAAATGAATGTGGGGATATCAGCATTTAAGTCTTATGGTCCAGGTGGTTTTAAGAACTGATCTCTGGCTGGAGAAGGTGGCATTTGGATTGAGATTCCTTCTTTTATCAGAGTATCTTTTACAGAGAGGTAGTGAGTTCAAGTCATACCATGAGTCTGAAATCTCTACAAGCCTGCAACACAACACAGCTTTTGGTACAGACAGACCATGCTGCACCAGCAAGCAGTGGCACCTGACAGGTGTGGAGTTGCAGAGAAAAACAGCTGTTGCTGAGGCCAGGTATTTACAGTTAAAGGATTTCAAACAGACTATTTTAAATTATTTCTGCCCTACCACACAGACTTAATGACCATTAGGATTTAAAGTTCATTCTCCTGATTGCTTTAGCCCGAAAGGAGATCTGGAAGTCCCAAGAGCGCTGTGCAATGAAAACCAGGCACGGTAGCAAGGAGAAATGGAGATTCAATTAGAAAGTACAGACTCAATCTTGTAGGGAATTTTCTGGTGACAGAAGTTCATGGGGACAACCTTGGAGAGCCACAGGCCCTGAGAGACAGAGCCCTTCTGACACCATCTTGGCGAGCCAGCCTGACTATGGGGTGAAATACAAAGGTCCACATTTTTGTTCATGCTGTTTTTCCATCTTATTATTAGTTTTTATTTTAAGAGCAAAGGTAGGTTTTTATTATCCTGGATAAAACTGAGTAGAGCCCTTAGTGTATTATATGTTCTCACTGCAAACTAAATCCACCCATAAATAAGAGTTATAAAAAATATATTTCTTTTAGGAATAGAAGTGCATGTAGTTATAGTTTAAGGTCTTTAACCAAGATTGAAAGCACATTGCAAGGTTTAAATATGATCCAAATAGTTGAAATAAAAAATATAATATTTTTTCCAGAAAGCTGAGACCATATAACATGAAATTAATTTCAACAGACATTAAATACCTTGGAGGACTAAAGCCACATAAGAATACAGATTAAAGTAGTTCAAGACATTTTCTCTTTCGATTTTGGAGTTTGGTATGACATCTGAAAGCCATTTTTATGTCAGGTCTTTCACACTAATCCAACTTTACTTGCAGTAAAGTACTGCAAATTATACCATTTGTTTTACTTGTGAAAGCTAACAATGTCCTGTCTTCACAGTATGTTCAGTCAAAGAAAACTTTCTGGTGATGTAGTGTTTGAGTAGTTTCAAAGGCTTTTGCATCACTAAATGTTTTATAGGGAGTTCAAGGATTTCTGGTATCTGACGTAAGGCTTGTTTTCACAAAACAAGTGTTTCTGAGCCCTCCACAGTATAAAAGGAATTTTAACACCTTTAATGAAACCGACAAATTTTTTTTTTTTTTTTTTGGTAACTCCCCATGTGGGTTCAATCAGTTTGAAAGTGTACATTTACTGTAACGAGTCAATATAAATTAGACTTAAATCAGTGAGAGAACACCTTTTGAACGTTTTGCATTAGTTCAGTTGAATCAGTTTAAAGTAAAATCCTGCTGCGCCGCTTTGCGTGGATATAAAGTCTGAATTACTTTTCTGGACAAAGCCTTCACTAACCAGCCACAAATTCCATCATTCGTAACTGGACAAGGTTCTAGTACTGCAGTTTGTAAAGGTTCTAGTACTTTGTACGTAATTGCAGTGTAGAGTGCACCAGCAACCCTTTTGAGGACTTGTACTTTATTTTGTTGTCCTCAGTCTGTGGTTACTAAATGCATTTAAACATTTGTCACCATATACACAAACTGGATCTGGGGTGGGGCAACAGACTACAAATTCTGTATTTTAAAACTGCTGTATATGAAGAATAAGGCAATTCGTCGCCGTGTCATTTGCCTGGATGGCCAAATGCCCAATGTACATTCACAAGGCACCGCGACGCGTCTCCCGCCCCGGGGCGCGCGGGGCTCCGGGGGGGCTCCGGGCGCCGCGGGTGCGCTCCCCTCGTGAGAGCCGGACCCGCCGCTCCCTCCAGCTCTGACCGGCCCGTGCCAGCGACACGCCAAGCGGGCTGCAAAGACTTAACACCGCCGCCGCTCTGCGGCACGGAACACCCCTCCGGAGGCGAGCACATCCCCCGGAACTCCGTCACGGGCGCGGCCGGCGGAGGGAGGCGGCTGACGGCATCAGGCGGCGCGGCGGGCCCGTGGCGCATGGCCGTGCCGCGGCAGCCGCCCGCCGCCCCGGCGCCGCCGCCCGCCGCCCCGGCGCTGCCGCCCGCCGCCGCCCCGTCGTTCGGCGCGGCCCGCGCGCTGCTGGCGCGCCGCCACTCGTGCCTGGTGGCGGGGCCGCGCCGGCGGCACGTGGCGCTGCCGCCGCGCTTCCTGGGCCGCAAGCGCTCCGGCATCCGCGCGCAGCTGGACGCCGAGCTCCTGCGCTACTCCGAGAGGTGCGGCCGCGCGGCGGCGGGGCGGGCCCGGCCCGGCCCGGCTCGGCTCGGCTAACGGTGACCCCTCCTCATTGTCCTTGCAGCCTGCAGGGTGTGCCCGTGGCTTACGACAACATCAAAGTGGTGGGGGAGCTCGGCGACATCTACGACGACCAAGGGTTCATCCACCTGAACGTCGAGGCGGACTTCATCATCTTCAGCCCCAAGAAAGGGAAGAAGCTGGTGGTATGCTTACGGCACGGGCTTTTTTTATTAAGTGGTCAAAACTTGCCTTATCTTCATCAAGTGCTCTGGCTCTTACGTGGAGACATAGTTTATGTTAGCTTATCCACTTATGAGTAGTTCATAGCAATTTATTACTAGCTTGTTCTACAATTTTTATTGTTGTTTTTCTGTTTTGCACGTCTCTAGGTTTGTTGAATTTCCGTATAATTATATATTGCTAAACGGTTGTGTCATAAGCATTGCATGTTTAATAGTGTATCATAAGCGTGTATATCGTACCGGTGCTCCATTCTGAATAGCAGATAATTCTCAAACAGGTGCATTTGTTATAGTGATAGGAATGTTTAGGATGCTCTCCAGTTCGGTTCCTCCAAGCACAGGACCAGTACATCGAGCTAGCCTGCCTTTCACTAAAGGAGGTGTGTGCTCACAGAACAGCTTTAAACTTGTCAAAACCCTTGCTGAGCACTTGTGGGTAAAGCACGTTAAGAGTTGGCTCGCATTCATTGTTGTGCCATACCTTTTGCAGCACAGATGGTGTCTTTATAATTGTGTTTTAAGATGAATGTGCCATCTTCCTAGGAGGATAATAGAAAAATTTTTGATGTCTGTCGTTCATCCTATGGGTGAAACAAAGGTGGATATGGTTTCATATGCATATGTGTCAGAAACCCACTGAATGGAGTATTTAGAAGCTTTTTATGTGTCTTCCCTATCTTCAGCTGCTAAGTACTTCTGTGCCAGCTTGAAGAGCATTTTAGGCAAGTAAATCAGACTTAAAATGGCTTCAAAGCAAAGTTGATCGCTGTAGTGTAAAGAAAAGAGTTACCTACTCTATTCACGTATTCACTGTAGTTAAATCCAATGTTTTGACTTCCTCTCCTGCAGTTTAGTTCTATTTTCAGAGGAATTGTATGAAGACTTTACAGAACTAACTTTGATTTTAATGAAGGAGCATTAACTTATTGCTAGATAAACTGGCTTCATAACTTGTACTGAAACTCTTACTGAAAATTTTCCATATGGGAAGGTAAATATTTAAAGGGTTTGCATTGAAGGGGCTGATTTTTGCTATAGACTTGCATGACATTATTTTTTTCTTTTTTAGGGCATAATTAACAAAGTGGCCCCTAGTCACATTGGCTGCCTGATACATGGATGCTTCAATGCATCTATCCCAAAGCCTGAACAAATGTCCATTGTACAGTGGCAAGAGCTGGGGTTAAAAATAGGGGATGAACTGAAATTTCAAGTGTTGCACTTGGATTCTGATACAGCTGGGGTGTTCTTCATTCGAGGAGGACTCACTAAAAGCAGGTACAGTGCCTTAATAGAGAATTTTTTTAACTGATTCAATACATTTTTTAAGATGCAATTAAAATCACTTAGATTGTAATCTTTCAGTGTTCTTATTTTTTACACAAGTATGTATATAGCTGTATATATAACTATATATACAGCTATATTTTTTGTCTTAAACTAAACTTTCTGCTCTTTAGGACTCCCATGGAAGTTTTCTCTGGAAAAAGTAAAACTAGGTGCTTCTTGAGCTTTAAAAATCCGAGTGTGTTGACCTATTAATTGTCAATTACATATATAATACATGCTCAAAATAATGCATCCAGGTGTCCAAAAGTAGCTTTGTGCGTAGGCTTTTCAAGTGCAAACAGTCCAGGGGTCCTGAACACAGTGGTTACATTGACAGTTGCACACAAACACATGCATGTGCATTGTATAATGACAAATATATGACTTGCTGAAACATGAGAATTTCAAAGAGAAGAAAATGTGTCTGCTTCCTCCTTAGGCCTCTGTAAATTTATGGGGCACCTTGAAAGAAATCTTGTCTTCAGAAGAGTTCATTCATGTTTTAAAAGAAAAAAAGTCATTTACTGAGCAATGTTTTTCTTTCAATATGGTTTTGATTAATGTATAATATAACTCCTACTGGCAAATTCATAGCATTTTTCGTTTGTTTCTTCTTTTAATCTGGAAGGATGCTCTGTGTCGTTTCAGTGAAGTTACAGTGAAAGTTAGCAATTTTGTCTTCAGTGCCTCTGTGGACATAAGAACCTCCATGGTTTTTAACTGCATTCTTTCCATATTTGTCTTAGAATTTTTTTTTTCCAGTGTTCTTGGTTGCAAGCTACCTGTTAAGGTGGGGGAGTAATTTAGTGTTTTTTGGTGGAGGTTTTTTCCTTTTTTTTTTTTTTTTTTTTTTTTTTTTTTTTTTTGTTGTTTTTTTTTTGTTTTAATTTTTTGGACATCACTTTTGTTTGAATTAGAGTAGGGTAATTGCTTAGTAAAATCAGCAATGTGCAATGTGCCTCATATATGACTGAATAGGCCACTAGCTGTGTGTTTTTGTGAATGACTTAAAAAAAAAAAAACAAAAAAGCTTTACGACACAATGTGTAGTTATGAATTAGGGGATGAAGAAGCACAAGAAAAGGGGAACTACCAAATGATCTATATGACACTTTAGAGAAGAAATTTAGCCTAAGATTTGGAAGAGAATATTTATTATGTGGTAAGAATAGAAATTACCCTGAGAGTATTAAACTTTGATTCTCTGTAACCCAGAGTATCATGTTCTCCATTTGCTGTTGTTCTTAGCAAATGTTTATCTTTTATCTGCTTGGTGTAAATACATGTTTTAGAAAATTTTGACATTTCACTATGTGAGGTGCTCTAACATGTCTCTAATCCAGTCTATGTTGTATTTTTCTTTACAGCATGCGGCCAAAAAAATCTGTTGCAGTCACTGAAAGTACAAATGGGCTTGAAATTCAAAAGCTTGACCACCAGGAAAATGGCCTGAATAACTGTGGGGAAGATAAAGTCACAGAAGAGCCTTTAAAAGACACAGGTGACCTTGGGAGGGAAAATGAAGAAGAGACAAGTGTTAATGCTTTGAATGGATTATGTGATGATAAAAAGAAGAAGAAAAAGAAAAAGGACAAGGACAAGCAAGGAGAACAGGAACTTGTATTGCCTACCAGTGACTCCAGTGGTTACCAAAGTGGCCATAAAAAGTCAAAGAAAAAGAAAAGAAAGCATTGTGATGAAGTTGAAGAAAGTGAGTTATCTCAGCTGTCAGAAAAACCCAAAGCAAAAAAGAAAAGGACTAAGGTCTGAAGGTTTCCTGCATAAGATTTCAGACTCTTTTGATAAGTTTCAATAAAACCCTGTTTTGAAAATATGTATCTCTTGTTCTTTACTACACAGTCTGCTCTGCTAAGTCAAATGGTGTTTGTGTGCATATGTGCACCAGCAGTTTGAAAGGCAGGAGCTTTTAAAGTAGTAATAGAAGTGGGATAGAAGCAGTATCTGCCTGGCTTTTTTACTGAAAAACAAGGCACAAAAACACTGTGGAATGTAAGTATAGGAACACATGCATCACCTCTGTGTCTGCTTTCCAGTTCCATGCATTAGCCAATTGGTATTTATGATGTTTGCTACTCTAACTCCATTTTTACCAGTTGGTGTCTTGATTTTACAAGAGTAGATTAAGATTATCTTCCAGTTTCTGGTAAATTCATGCAAATTCCCAGGAGGCTTAAAAGAGAATTTTTTTTGAGTTTCAGTTTTCAGCTTTTGGTTGCAGCTCTTCAGTTGTGAGGAGGTCTGGGGAGAACTGCAGTGTGACACGGTCTAGTGTTTTACCAGGGCAGGAGGCCATGATTGCTTTGGCATTGATTTGCCTGTTACAAGAGGAACACAACCAGCTCTTTGAAGGCCTTGATAGTAAACAGCATGAATGTGGAAACCTGCTGTTCTAGGTGATAAAGCATTTTGCTCTAGTGCTTAATGATGATGCTATTAGTTCACTTAATAGAGGTGTTTACGATTTCTAGTAACATACACTGAACATGTTCTGAATTTTAAATGTGACAATACTTGTTTTAGGGCTCACTTTGTGCTATATTAATTGCTTTTATGCTTCTTTAAAGCTCCAGATGTACCAAGACAATGTTACCAGTTTACAGGCTCGATGGCATGACAGTACATAGTAGGCATTTTAAAGTTATGGCACTATAAAGAACCAAGTTAAGACTTTTTAAAGACTTAGAAGAAAGTGAACTTAAGTAGCTAATGCCAGCAATAGCAGCAGAAACCAGGGTATCCTTATGTGTTTGCTCTTCAGTGTACTTCATCTTGGAGCCAGTTTCTGAACAGTGAGGGGAACATGAATTGTTCCTGATGTGTTTGTATGTGTGATGATGCTGACACTTGATTTATGTGCAATTTCATGGACGCTGACTCTTCTATCCATTTTTCCTGTACTGTGACAAAACCTGAGAAATCAGATGATGTCTGTAATGTGTTACACCATGCTGCAAGGTCAGCTTAGTGCAGTATTGTGGTGTGTTCATGGTTGCAGAGAAAGACACAGAAGTCTCATCCTGCTGTACTTAAAAGTACACAGGCAGGCTGAAGGTTGAGACATAATTTAGTCAGAAATTATGTGCTAGTTCCACCTTTATATAGATATGTGTGTGTGTGTGTATTTCTGTAGTGACTTGAGGGACAGGTTGGATGGATGGGTAAGAAAGACATGAGAGAAGAGGATGACAAGTGCAGATATTTTTTGATAATTTCAACTTGAAGAGAAGAATGGAGGCAAATTCTGTTGCAGATTATCTGAGTCACATCATTTGATCTCTTAGTCCTTAATGCTCATTGTACCTCACTTTCCCTTCTAGGGAAGGGAAGCACACATGCAGAGTCAAGCCTCACCAGTTGATAGAAGCAGTTTGTAGCACCAAGTTTGTTTTGCTCTGTTCTGCCTTTTCATCAGCATGCAAAAAAAGAAGACATTCAGGGGGAAGTACTGAAATTGCAATTAATGAATCAAGTAACACAGACAATATAAATGCTTTCAGCACGTTGCTCTTTTTCCACTTTTGCTGCTGTACTCTACTGGGAACTGCTTACTGTAGTTTAACAAACTGCAACTGTTTTGTTGATGATTAGTTTTTTCTGAAAGCCTAAAATAATCCCAGTTTTGGGCCTTATTTAGAGGCAGGTTTATTTTTGGCAAAAAAAGTATGGTTGGCACCCACTTGCGTAATTTTTTTTGTTTTTTTCTTGGATTATAACAAAAGAGCAATTAAAAATAAATGCAGGCAATTTATAAAAAATAAATGCTGGCAATTAATGATTGCTGAACAAGTTGTTTCTCCAGTGATACAAATACCATAACATGTTAAATTCTTGACAAGTTTTGTGTCTTTGGAAGGGGAAAAGTGAAAAAAAGGCTTCAAAAAATAAGGAAGAAAAACTTGGTTTACACAGTTGGAGGAAATACTGGCAGCCTCACAGATGCGCTGTTGGTGTTGCTGTAAATGCCATTTTGACATTTGCTAAATATGGCAGAAAACTTGGGTTTTCAAAAGTGATTTTTCACTCTGATCATGATTTAAATTACTGGTCTGTTTTTTCCCCATAAAAAGGCAAAATTTTCTGATGTGTTTAATTAACAAAGGAGCTGAACTTGACACTTTCCATTGAAGTTTCTCTGAAGTTTGATCTCTACAAACCTTTGACTTTCTGTGTTCCCTGGGACTACAAATGAAGAGTTATATTTAATTTTAAGTTGATACAAGATTTTTGAGTATATAGAACAATCATTTTTAAAGCTTCCTGAGAGACCAGGTGACTTCATTTTTTTTGTACAGCCCTTCTGTTATTTTTTTCAGGGTGCCTTCTAGTACAACTAATATCACATAGCAAAGAGAAGGTTAGAAAGTAAAACTGTATTTTATCTTATAACTATATTGATAGTTACACCAAGGTAACTGTGATCTAGAGAAAAAAAATTGCTGGATTTTTTTTTTTCTGTTTTAACAATAGGCTTGCTACAAAGCCAATATTTACTTATTACTGTGGTTGATATTCTTTTGTTCGTGTTCTGGAACATGTAGTTCCAACTTAATCAGCTATAACTTTTTAAAGTAGAAACTGCTACTTTGTCATAAAAATATTTTGATTCTGCAAATGTTTCTCAGTGTATTGTATGCCTTTGGCAGAAGAGCAAGCAGTCTTACAAAAATATATTTTTAGCTGCCTCTAAAGCAATTGTTTTGTATTCTCTATAGCTTGTAACAATGTGCAGTGCTAACTTGCTCTTTGTCTTTTCCTTGCATCTCTTAGAAACAAATTCTTTGCTTTTGACTTGGCACTTTGCTACTGCTCTGAATACTCAGCCCAAACAGCCCAGCAGATGAGCTCTAGGGAAACAAATTTTTTTAAAGGGCTTAAGCAAGCAAGCTGCCTTTTGGAAAACCATGAGGCATGATCAGATCTACCTCTGAGTAAACAGGTTGCCTTTGGAAGCATCCCAATCTTAGCCAGCCCTCAGACAGTACAGACCTTTGCTGTGAAGAGGTTATGTGATCTGATGCTCTCGGGATTATTACTGTTGGCTATGGAAGGACTGAAATAGTTTCATTCTAATATGTCCCATATTTTTCTTACCAAAATGTTGATTCTATTCTGCTATTTATCTTTAAGAAATTCTGTATATTTAATAAAATCTGACAGACTTCAGAATCCAGTAGGCTTTGTATACAAGGAGAATTTATCTCCTGGATTCATGTGAACAAAAACAAAACTGAAAATCAAGCTTTGGACTTCTCCAATACTGCCAGTAAATAAGTTTTTTACAGACATCGCTTAAGATTTTTTTGCTCTTCATGACTTTTCACATAATTAAGTTAAAGTTATGTTGAATTCTGTTGTAAATATTGTCCCAAGCCACTCCACTGACCTGATGTTAAGCAAGTAAAAGCATTTGCAGCTTGGCCATGACTTCAAGTTCCCCTGAAGCCAACTGTCCTATGCAAAGAAGAAATAAGCTTAAAATTTCCCATTTAAGAACCCCTGCTCCATAAGACTTCATGAATACAAGATTATCTCCTCCCATTTCCCAAATGCTGTGATATGTCTTTAGAGTATCATTGCTGCTAGAATGTTTCTGTTAAAACCAGACAGCTGAACTTGGAAAAGAACTTGAGAAATACATCTATAAAAACAGATTAAATGAACTTTCTGTACAGAAGGTGACTGAAACTGCAGCAGTTTTTTAGTATATAGCAAAGAAACCTTACAAACAGAGGAAAGAATTTTGCAACGAGATTCATTATCAATAGCTTCCTCTTTTATCAATTGTTTTAGAGTTTTTCATATAATTAGAAGGTTAAGCTGTGACTTCTGGTCTCTAAATCTGTATGATACTTAGTAAAAATACAGTTTAAAAGGCAGGAATAACTATTGCTCCTCAAAGCTCTCTTCCTCATTATTACCCATGTTCCTCTTTCCTTTAAATTTTCTTTCACTGGTGCCTTTGGTGTATGGAAACTTCTCTAAGAATATTCTTAATACACTGAAAATATGGTGTCCTATTCATGGATTTCATTGTGCTGCAAAAATTGAGTGAGAAAAAATGTGTATTTAAGAGGCTCTGGTAAGAGCCAATCTGTCAGTAATGTGTTGCTAAGAGGCTCACATCAGTTTGGACACTGAAGAAACAGATCTTTATCAAATGCTGTGACTGAGTTGCAGGTGAGGTCACATTCAAAAAATAAAAATTCAGTTCTACCTTCAAAGCAATAATCAGTGGGCATGACCTCATTGTGATACCTCCATGCCCAGCACATGCAGCTCCTGATGGAGACTTGGAGAGCAGCAGTCAGTGGAATTGCAGGCTCTTCAAGTCTTCAATTTTCATTGACAAGCAATTTTGACAAGCATTTTGTCAAATGCTTTAAAATTCTGTATGGATCAGTCATATCACCACTTAAAAGCTGAACTAAAAGAGAAGGCAAATTTATCCTGCATCAGTAAACATGAATATTAATATCAGAAAAAATGAGACTGATTTTGGAGCCCTATAAAATTTTTGGACCAGCTCCTTATTTGTTATAGATAACAAACCAGTGACATCTGACCCTCTTTCAGGATAATGGCATTTTATCTTGTTTGAAGGTTCATTTTTTTCTCCAGAGATATGGTCATCTCTACATGGACTCAAAGATGACCAGTTTTTTATGAAGCACTTTCATAGAAGGACAGCCATTTGTGTCTCAGCTGAAAACAAGCCACAAACTCCCCCCAAAAAAACAAACCTAAACCAAAAAGTGCACAGATGGTTTCATTATGGAGCTTCTCAGTGTTAACTTGTGGGTTTGTAAAGATGAGCT